AAACACACTTGTGCTCCTTATGCTTTTGCGCTATCATCTCAATAAGTTGATCGCTCTGTTGTGGAGCAAATTTAGTTGAGCGCAGGTATTGTTCGTATTCAGCAGTTGGCTTAGCATCACCGAATTCGGCTTGAGCCACTAACGAACCTAGTGTAGCATGTGTCTCTATGGTTGCTGGCAGTCTGAAAATTTGGTTTTCAGCAATCAACTTTGAAATAATTCTATTCGGGACTTACCTCCCAGTACAAACATCATTTCTCAACTGGAGGAAAAGGTTATATCGTGCATGATCATCATTAAGTGAAGATGGTACGGTCGGATAGAATTTGACCTCGAAACAGAACTCCCACGGAAGGCCTACAATACTTATCGGTTTAAATAAACAGTCGTTAGTACATTCATTATTATCTGTATTTGTACATGTGTGATTGTTGGAGGTAATGTGGATTCTAACTAACAGTTTCCAGTTTATTTTGGGTCTATGTCACCAGGCCGTTATGTAAACAAAACCATCTACTGTGTTTAATGACTAATCCTATAGAAATTGATTGCAGCAAAAAATATCTGGCACAAAAGCAAACAAAAGCCAGTTTCCGCATCAAAAAAGCTTTTTTTCTCAAGCCCTATCGCAAAAAGAATGGAAGAACTTCAGTAAAATTCCCTACTTATGATTGACTGTTCAAGGATGATATTTCCGTCGGTTGGAAATTGAAGTCAGCATGATCAACTAAAGCATGTCATCAAACTTCCAACGATAAAGAATTCAAACCAGAAGCTTTAAGTCTTATTTTCACTATAAACAGATGTCATTTAAATTCCGAAAGCGCGCCAATTTGCTCCGCAAATCGATGCACGAAAAAGGTCCAAACTTTTGTCCTTACGCCTCGCCGATAAAGTCAATGTTTAGCAAATTTGATACGTTATTCTCAAATAAAGCTACCAAAATAGGGCAAGTATATCTAGTTCCTGCCCTATATGCGCTACTACAGTATGGCATCTGTTCAGACATAAATTGTTTATGGAATGGATATCCGAGTAAAGATACCCAATACTACAGGAGTCTGCTGATTGTGTTTCCAAAGATTTGAACATCATCAAGGCTAACTAGTAAGCTGGAACTGTTTTAAGAGGCATCAGCTGTCAATTGTACTATAAAATAGTTCCGACTCTTGCTGCACTGTATAAAAGGCCTTATGCAAAGCAAATGCCAGTTATCTTGGCTTACTGAAGCATTTCAGTTGATTAGGTCTTGCCCTAATTTTTTTTGCAAAAAGCCTGACTAGCAAGTTTTTGGCAAACTTTGGTACAAAAAATGGCTTGAAGCTAGAAAAAAACTATACTTTGGCTTTTCACACGGTCGTGTACTCATAAGCCTGCCGCACTAACAGGATTCCCCTTCCAAGCCCATCCTTCTACATGTTTATCCTACCTACAGGCAAAAAGTACTGAAAAGGCTAGAAAATTCACACAAGCTCTAAAGTTACAGCGCCTATCACCATCTAGTGATACTTTTGTTTACACTGAACGTCCATACTACACAGGAGCAGGCGCTACTAAGCCCATTATTACAAAAAAATGACACTCTACCTTTGAGCTGTCTGAGTATTTTTTTGTCATTGTACAGCCAATGTCTTGTTCCCTCAGTGTCGTAGAAGCAGAGGGAAAAATACTCGCGCTCTTCGATGGACAGATCAGCACTTACAAGAGCGAACAGCGCCTCGCCATCTGAGCCACGCTGAAACACATACTTTTAGAGCTAAACTTGA